ACTCAAAGACGTCTTCGACTTCGCCAAAGACCACAGCATTACGAGCCAAAGAACTTTGACATTTTCGGGCATGATTTGGAACTTCCTCGTTTTACTTTTCTTCTTCTGTTTTCCATTATTTTTATTTTCTTTGCAATGCATGACAATGCTGAAGTCAGATAAAAGAAAATATGATATCATTTTATTTGATTTGATCTGATCTGATTTTGTCAAACTTGACTTCATCGGGTATGATTTAATCGGAACTGATTTCATTGGATTTGATTTCACCGGATTTGGTTTCGTCGGATTTGGTTTCACCGGATTTGGTTTCGTCGGATTTGATTTCGTCGGATTTGATTTCATCGGAATTGATTTCATCGGAATTGATTCCATTGGAATTGATTTAATCGGAATTGCTTTCTCTGGATCTGCTTTAATTGGGTTGGATTTCAATGCATAAAATGATTTCACCCGATTTCATTAGATATCACTGAACCAGTTTTGTTTTTTTGGTGTAGGAAATAAAAAGAACTGTTGTGCTAACCGCAATGGCTTCTATATGGGAGGGATGAAAACTCGGAGAAAACAGGACGGCTCAGCATAATTGCATGCTTCCAAATGATCTCGGTTCGATTCCATTTGGTGTGGCAATCACGCAGGCTCGAGATCCCCAGGGAATTGGTTCCTCGCCGTCTTTCCCCGCAAATTCCCCGTTCAAGCTAGATGGCTGTGACTGGCATTGCAAAGGTTTTTTTCACGGGGAGGCTTTGGAGTCCGAATTTAAAAAAATGCACAAATTTGCTTACTCCATTTAGAGGAATTAGGGAAACCTAATCTCTCGGCTTGATATTGCGAAACCTTTGAGCCTCGAACCTTCGCCTCGACGTTGTTTTGAAATGAATTCTTAAAAGGAATTCATTTCGTAGTGGATGAAATTGCGATTTTTATGCCTGGAGAGGTAATTGAGTGGGCGCATTTTAGAACGCTATTACGTTTCATTTCACGTTATTTTAATCCCATATCGTTAAAATATATATATAGCGGATTTTTCTCGCGTACCATGCACATAAACGTAATTGCCTGCGTTCGTTGAAAATTACCTGTATATTCCCGGTAGCTGCCCGAGTGCGCAATTGTGCAACGAAGGAGGGAATTAGCCGCGGATGGGATTTGCGTTGAACATCTGTATGTGCACAATAGGGGAACAGGGAATGCAGAAATGGTCTCGAGCGCCAGATTCTTTTATCCAGATTTCCCAGGTGGCTGAAACAGATGGGCTTCCCATAGCGGTTCCTAAAATACCCGTTCCTGGGTGCACGCGTGTTGACCTTCCCAGAAATATCTTTTAATTGTAAAACTCTAACACTTCGGAGTTTTGCAGAGAGCACTGAGAAAACTCTGTACGACCGATTTTCATGGCAGGAAGAAGGGAGATAATCCAAAAAAGATTTCCCCCGACACCCCTTCTTTTCTTGACAGCTGCAAACGACTGACGATGCAGGACTCAAATCGGCCATTTCGATTATGGAAGATGAGACGAGCATCGGAGCATGCCCACTGCGAATTTTAAATTGCCAGGCCCTCACGTGGAGGCAATCATTCTTGATGAGAAAATGGTGAAGGTGTGAAAATATTCTTTCCCCATCCAAGCTCAACACGGACTGTCAAGAGGGCCATGACCCATGAAGGCCATTCTCGATCGCTGTCGACTGATGCCACCCTTGAAGAAGCCCGTCCCTGTCCATTCGGGTCTAACAGATGCCGCTCGTCGCAAGCAGTCGGTATGTTTTTTCACCTTTTTCACGTCCTTGGAGTACTTTTGCAACCGGTCACTCCGGTCGCGATGCTAAACTATGGGCTCTTTGTGAAAGAGAAAAATGACCTCAAACGTGGGAGCATGGCATTTCTTGCGGGAAGGGCTATATGTCGTTCTGAGGCTTCTCATGTTTCGGGGCCGGTAAAAATTGTCTTAGGCTTCGTTGGACCGTCAAACCATACTGTAATGGTTTTCCAAACGCCAACAATTCCAAATTTCCTTTCTTACTGCTATCAACTTTGTTTGGACAGAGGAACTCATTAAAGGAGACCCTCGCATCGCCTGTCGGACTTTTTGACGCAATCGATAGCATCGCGTTGCTCCATCTCTGAAGACCTCGGTCGCTGCTACTGTTTGACGTACTACCCCCTCAAAGTTTCACACTGCAAGTGCCACACTTTACGTAAGGATGCCCTAAGAAAGCCGCTGAGCCCAGCTTAAAGCGTCTGACCTCACGGTAAACTGAATTTTTGTCCTGGGAGACAGGCCTTCCCACTGACCCCTTTCGTTTCTCCCTTGATTTCCTGGCACGTCGTGTGGACAACGACAACCATGTCTTGGCGTCACCTACCGACACTTTTGGTAAAAAGGCCTTTCCTTTCCGTGCGTCCTAGAAGGTCGGCGAGGCAACTCCGTGTACTTTGGTCACTACGGCACCGCGAATCCCCACAGGACTTAACAGCCACTATTTGTAGGCCAACTATAACAGAATCAAGGACAGGTAGACTGCTCCCAGAGAAGTCAGTTCGCCTCTTGGGATGCAAAAAAAGCAACATTTTGCACGATCCAATAGAATATCAAAGCATGGAAACGGAAGGAATACGATATGGAAAATATGAGGAAATGAAAGATCTTCGGTGTCGACTGTGCCATGAAATCCATCAGGTAAAGGCCAAAAAGGCACATCGCATCACGTTACACCACGACCCGTACGAGATCCCGGAATTCATGAAAATATTCCAATTTTATTGAAAGGAATGATATCAAGGTGTACGAAACTCCCATATTAAAGAACCAGGCATATATATTTAAAAAGTTGCGTCGAAATGGCATCATCGAGTGGACGGCGCCGAGAACCGCTGCAGCAGCAGCGCGTGGCACGAGTCGCACACCCGCACCGGTTTGGCCGAGGACGGCAGCGGCATCGTGTTGTCCGAACACGCCTTGCAGAAGATCTCCCCGCAGAAGCGGCAGTGGTGCTGGCAACAGAAGGTGATACGGGCGGGTGAGCGGTCGGTTTTCCCGACTGTTAACGTGAAGATACCAGGCGTGCGACTCTTGGAGGCAATCTCTTCAATCTCTTTGTAATTAATTCTTCATTTGAGTCTGCAGCGACATAACAGGAAATCCCACATGCGGCACCAGGGATTATTTTTCAGTCACTTATACATAAACTTCCAAAAATTTGCTGATGAAAGTTATTCACGGTCTTAACACGTCCGATTGTTTGTGTACTTTTTCTTCAGGGGAAAAACCAGCAACGAATATCTCACTTCAAGCAATAGCAAAAAAATCCCTCATCCCCTAAGTAACACGA